AGGCTGGCTGAGAGTTGATAAAAATGTTGATAATGAAAGAAGTATTTGAAAACAGGCACATTCTTGAATGTGTGTTTTGTCCTTGTGAGTTAAATTATTTCTGTTGTCAATGAAAACACTTTTTTTCAAGGTAATATTGTTCTATGCACAAAAAGCGATGTGAAATACAGCATGCTGAAAAGGACAATTCAATTATTGTTTAGTTAGCTCAAACCTCCAATATGTGTGTGTTTTTCCAGATGTTAAAAAAAAGAGTACTTGACTTCCTTGTGTGGAACTCAAAAGGAGAAATTTTTAAGATTGTACCGGTCACTCCAGTGGAGACTGAAGCTTCCAAAATATGCCATAAAAGTATCATATATGGTAGTCCATATTGCTCATGCACTATATTCCAAATCATCCAAGTGATACAGTAGCTTTGTAAGAGGAACGGATAGGAATGTATGTGAGTAATCACTGACAATCTTCCCATCCAGTGAGCCGTTAACTTCTGTGATTGGATCATTCAATCAGCGAACTCGAGAAGTGGGTTAGTCTGATTCTTGAATACATCTTTCATAGTGGGAAAAAATTATCCATTGAAAAGACCAGAGTTAAAAGAACGATTTGTTTACTAACTGGACATTGCGACCTCTTTCGTGAATTCATGAGCAGTCTATTTCCCACTATTGTAGAGCTATCCTATGGCTTCAGAAGACTTAAAATTGCCCTTTTTCACATTTCCTTGGTTCTCAGAAGCGGAAGTCGTCATAGAAACTTCAATAGTGGTTAAAAGAAACTACAACAAATATATTTTTTTTCCCAAAAATTTAAATTGTCATAATTTACTCAACCCCCTAGTTGGTCCAAACCTGTATGAGTTTCTTTCTTCTGTTCAACACAAAAGAACATATTTTGAAGAATGCTAGAACCAAAAAGCTGACGGTAGCCATTGACTTTCATAGTGTGGATGTCAATGGCTACTGTCAACTGTTTGGTTACCAACATTTTTCAAACCCTTGTGTAAAAAGAAGTAAATGAGAATGCAAGTAAATTATGATAGAAATTTCATTTTTGGGTGAACTATCCCTTTAAGAAATCATCTGATCGAAGCGATTCAGCAATTCGGGACTCTAGTAAAGTCACGCCACGTTTATTTATATAGCATTTTCATATAGTCCTAGTTTGTGTTGCTTTCAATTAGTATTACACCGACATCTGACCTCGACGAACACAATAGGAGAAGTAAACCGGAGAGGATTTCCACATCAAAGGTGGAGCTCCAGAGCACACTTAACTATTATTTAATCACCACGGCTCAATAGTAGTTTGGAGGTATTTACTGTTTATTTATTTGATAGGGACAATGCAGGTTAATTAACATTTGTAGTAATACAGAATGTAAACAAGCCGGATTATAGCAACATTGCTAATTTACATCCGCAGTCCCTAGGCAGGTACACACAAGGACACAGACTCAAATACACATACAGTACATAAAAAACTAATACCTCAACACATTTTAAAATTTCTGAGTAAAATGTTTACACAACTGATTCGTCATAAGCCAATTTTTGAGGTATGATAAGTAGAACATTGTCTTATTGACTGCGGTAAACTATTCCAATATTTACTCCCTATTACAGATAATACTTTCTGTCCAAAAGATGTTCGCCTATATGGCACCTCACAGTCCCCTCTAATAATAGACCTAGTACCAATACTACAATCTGTCCTCGGTTTTATAAATTAATTTAACAGAGGGGGAGCAAGCCCATACAAGACCTTATAAATAAAACATGCATATTTAAAATTTGTACAATTTTCAAAACTCAATAGATTTTGTTTTTTTAGAATGTTACAGTAATGAAATGACAGGGTTTTTAACACTTTTATCGCCTTCTTATACAATGATTCTATTGTCTTTAGAGTTGTGCCACTTATAAATGACCAACTATTAAAACAATGCTCAATATGAGAAAAGATGATTGAGTATAAATACAACCTAGCAGCACAGACGGTCAAAAATGGCCTAATGTACTTAAAATTCTTTAAATTAAACGTTACAATATTAGACAACTTTTTCACGTGAATTTTAAAAGTTAAAGCAGAATCCAAAGTCACCCCAAGGTATGTAAACTCTTGCCTTCGAATGTGTCATCTCTACTGGTTGTTTTGCAAATATCATACACAGTTTTTTTTGCGTTCAATAATAAACCTGATTTGGTAAGCCATTCCTGAACATTGGCCATAGCAGAAGTCAAAGTAGTCGAAGCTTTTTCAAAGTTATTAGCATGGGTAAAAATTACTACATCATCTGCATACAACTGAACATTTACATGTTTACATACTCCAAGTAAATCATTAATATAAAGTGAAAATAAAATTGTTCCCTAGATGGAGCCTTGTTGAACCCCCTTTTTTCCCCTGTTTGTTTCATTTACCAGCTGAAACAAACTGGAAAGTTTCTGGAAGCTGTTTCAAACTCCCAAAATGAACTCCAAAATTTGGTTTCTACCCAAAATGAACTTCGCCTCATTTAATTCGAAATGACATCACACCAGTATAGTGTAATAAAAAATATGAAAATTAAAATATATATAAAAAATAACCTTGCTAGATTTACAATATTATTAACTCTGGAAATGCAATAGTCATATAGACCACTTTAATGATCCTTTAGTGGTGCTTTTTGAAGTTATAAAGCTTCATTCCTCATTAGTTTCTTTTTTTTTTTATTGTTGTGATTATTTTTTATGATTATTTTCTTTTCTTTTATGTAAAGCACTTTGAATTACCATTGTGTATGAAATGTGCTATATAAATAAACTTGCCTTGCCTTGCCTTTTTGATGTAATTATGATGTAACAATAATGATATTGTTCAAACCCCCCAAGGAGCAAAGATAGTTGTATGTAATGTCTTGAGGGTGTGTAAATAGTGACATAAAGACACATTTTCCTTTGAAGTTACACCTAAATGTATATCTATATCATTAAACATTTATGCTAGTTAGTGTGCAAATAGGTGATGCCCTACGGCAGAATCATCCCTGCGGTGCATATATATATATATATGAATATATTCTTCTAGAGAATAAGGTGAATATCACACGTTATTCTACATAAGCACAGATGAGCTTTGCATTGAGTACATAAAGCAAGCTTATGTGCTTTTGCGAAATTGCTTGTGCCCCTTAAATGTGTTTGTGTTTTATTTAAGAGCCTGTTGCGGGCCTGCTTTGGTTAATTTGTCATCCTTAAGTAAAGCGTATCAGCAGCATGCAGACGCCCGACTGTTTCAGAGGTATTAAAACCAGTGCAAATAGTAGATCAGTACAGGAATATGAACAGAAACACTTGAACACAAAGGTAGGCTGTAGAGTATGCTTGGTATGCATGCAAATGAGACAGAGTTGATCCATGTTCGGTCTTCACTGTATTGTTTTCCTTTTTTCTTTCTTTCTTTCGTTCTGAAATCCGTGGCATTCTTTCATTGACCCCATGAAAAACCAATGACTAAAACATTGTACAACTACATTCCAACCTATGACTCATTTGTTGATGTGCACGGAGGAAGAGAGAGAGGGAAATAGAGTTAGGAGCCTAAGATAGAAGGAAACAAAAGAGGAGCGAAGCCGAGCGAGAGAGGGAGGTAAGGAGAGCGAGGTGAGTGAATAAATGCTTTGTGTTTCTTATTCTGCCGAGCTGGTCTGACAGGCCATTGTGTACCTTCAGGGAGAATTCTGCTACATTGAGTCACACACAGTTCCTCGTATAATGAAAACACACACTTCCTGACATTAGAGCCCTGGATACGGCATGCACTGAGCACACAGTGATATGTGCACACGTTCAGATACCGCCATCCTTTGACACGTTAATTGGAGATTAAAAGTAAATACCCACAATGGATGCATTAGTCGAAGATTGTTTGTCAAATACAAATAACGAGCAATACTTGTTGACAGAGACTACTATTTAGAAGGTTTAGATGGAAATTAATGTATATAAGAATAGTATTAAATAAGTCTTCTATGACAAAAAAAAACTTAATAACATACTTTATTTTGCCTTTTCCTTTTTTTTTTTTTACAAATTTGTAATGTTTTACACGTCTTATCAAATAGTCATTCTCTAGTCTTCTACTCACCAAAGCTGCATTTATATGATCAAAAATACTTATTGTGAAACATAATATTACAATTTAAAATAGCCATTTTCTAACTGAATATATATTAAAATGTAATTTATTTCTAATGCAAAGCTGTATTTTCAGTATCATTACTCCAGTCTTCAGTGTCACATGATCCTTCAGAAATCATTCTAATATGCTGATTTGCTGCTTAAGAAACATTTCTTATCAATCAGTTTTTTAGGATGCTTTGATGAACAGTTAGTAGAAACAGCGTTTATGAAATCTTTAAGAGTGGTGTGCATATTATTGCCTGAAACCACCTTCAGTGTACATGAATGCAACTTTTCTTTTTCTATTTTTATTTATTTTTTTAGCTGTGTAAGCTCGATTTTATGCACCGCGGGCTTTGTAAATGTGTGACACTGTGCCACAAGGGGTGCTGTAGTAGACATTAGCATGAATGTTGCTTGTGTAGCTGTTTTTTGTCTTTGTGTAAAGTTTGTTCTTGGTCTACCATGTGTTCTTGCATTATTGTGACAGATATAAACTTCATCAGAATGCTTAATGGGGCGTATATAGACGGATCTGTGCCTTTAAACCACATGTGGTGTTATTCAGGTAATTGAGCTAGCTATAAACATGTCAATTTAGCTACCTTCGTGGCCCAGCAAGATTTTCTTCTAACTGTTGCACTGTGTTGGCAGTTGACAAAGTGTTGACTTGATAAAAATTAAATATGGCACTATAGCCTGACTAAAGATATGTTTGCACCAAAATGATGACCTAAAAAATTAGTTTTTCCTTTTGCATTTTGGAAAAGTTTCACATATAGACGACAGTGTTGTCAAATCGATTCCCTGTTCACACAGATCCGCAAAGTGACTAAAATGCTGTATTATGCATGCCAGGCCACTAGTTGGCGATGTCACGTTATAAAGAAACTTGTGTATTCCTATAGACTGACTGAACACGTTTCAAAAATTCGCATTTTCGCATTTTCAATTCCAAAATGTGCATTTTTGTAGTTTACATGGAGACAATAATGGTATTGTTTTTGAAAACTTGCACTTTGAAACCCGTTTTCAAACGTTTGCATTTTTAGGCCTCCAAAACGCCGTTGTCATGTAAATGAACGGCCAAAATGCATAAAGTTTTCCATTTTTAGTGTCAAGTAAATGGTCTATAGCAGCTCTTTTGATGCGTTCTTAAGTTGCAATATAAATTGCGTTTTGACACAATCATGCATTGAAATCAAGCTTGTGTCATAGAGCCTCAGGTACTTTTAATACAGACACATTACAGTGCAGTACAAGTATTTGGCATCCTCTACAGTGTGTCGTATACTTTTTTCAGTCGGTGTTAGCTAACAGATCTGATTTATAGGAGGTTTGCCGTCCTGAGGTCAAATCGATTTAATGCCTTTGTGGAACATAAACCGAGTTGGATCTTTTCAATGCGGTGAAGGGGTGTAGCGTGAGAGGCCAATGCATTTGCATTCGAGGGTATGCGTTTCTATTACTGAGTCAAGCTCTGTTTATGTATGATTTTATGTGGTCGCAATCCTGCATTTGATGGATTTAATCCTCTCCGGGGTGCATGCAATTTGAGGTCTGTGTTTGGAGCGTTTGAGCACGCTGATGTATCTGTAGCTTGTCAAAAGCAGCTGTTTCGTGAATGTGTGTGTGTGTGTTTAGATCACTGAGCCATTCTTTATTCCATCAGTATATATGGAGCAGCTCTTATGCTGCTCGCTGGCCTTTGACTCCTGGAGCTCTGAGCTGGAGGTCTCTCGCTTCTGTCTCCGCAGGAGCTCGCTGGAGTCGGCCGAGTAGCCGAGCCAAAGCACGGGTTGTTTATTTTACCCTGCCTTTGTGTATGGCCGAGTGAGAAAACGTGAAAGCAGAAAGAAAGCAAGTGAGTTTTAAAAACGTGAACTTTGCGGCCTTCCATAAGCGAATGCTGTGGCGACACAAAGATCACCGTCTGGGATCATCATGACAACCAGGTCAACGTTTTCAAAAGCGGAAGTATTTCTTTGAAAGCGTCGTGATTTGTACCGCAATGCAGTTGGAGTTTATCAGCAGTGTGAGGCAGATACTGCACATTATAGAATCGCAGGTTTGTTTTTGTAGCACTAATAAATGTGCAGTTATTTTCTTTTATAGGCTTTAACCTCCTGTTATAATATAGTGATCACTTGACTGTTTTGTTCAAGGACGAGATACAGTTTTAAAAGCAGCATAAACATGATTTTGATGATTTTTAATTATTTATGCACTTAATTACGTCCAAGTCAAGTGTGTAATGCAATTTTCAGTTTGCAGAATCCATCTGTTATTTGCTGAGAGATGTGTTAGGCGGTGATGCTGAGAAAGTTAAGGCTAATTATATCGCACACAAGCAAAAACAATTAAGATTCTTTTCATACTAATATGAGGCCTTGAACACATAATAGAGATCTAAATGACTCTTTTATCCCCCCAAAAAAGAGAAAGATAGTCATGGGTTTATGTAGTAAAATCTTCATCATTTAGCTGTGAAATCTTTCCTGATTTTTATGAGGTAAACATAATAACTTTTATATTGTTAGTAATATTTCAAGATGAACACTTACTTGTGCAACTTAGGTTTACGACTTTCCATACATAATTTTTTTTTTTTTTAGAAAATTATTCTTTAAAATGTGAGTATAAATATGATCATCAGGCTTTTGAGGAATGTTTATTTGTTCATCTGTCAATCATCATTGTATTGTATTGCATTATGTTTTGAAACTTATCATTTCATAATATCATCTTAACATTTTATTGGCAGATATATAGTGACAACTGATATTTTCATGCATTTTATGTAAGTAGTCTGCTATACTGTAATAAAGATCTGTGTAAAGATGTAATTTACATTACAAGCTATCAGAATTTAATTTGGGCGAATAACTATCAGCAGATGCACCAAATTGCATTTTTATGCAATATCATACTAAAGCCTGATGTATCAATTATACTGTTTTTTTTAATTATATTTTTTATAAAGGTCCAACAAACCATTCCATTACAAAAAAAAAAACTGACTTATGTCAGGCTTTACAGGGTTAAACATGTTCCTGGTTTTATTATGATAAATTCATTAGCACATATTATTCCAAATAAAAAAATCCAATCAGATATTGACCGATAAAATGAAGTGCAACCCTACTTGTTTCATTGAATATCCTGTTTCACTTGGGAATGTGTTGCATTGTGGGAGTAAAACGTTTCATATTGACTTTAATAATGCTTCTCATCCAGATGCATTTGTTCAGCCCAACTTTGATCCATATCCGTGATCATGTAGATTGATACTGTGATGATGAGAGAGCTCAAAGTTGTGTTTTTTTTTTTTTTCTCTTTAATTATGGGCAATCAAAGCAGGATAAGTCTCATGCTGAGACAGTCTGCACATTCAGTCGATAGATATGAAGCCACTGCACTCTAATCAGTCTGAGACTGCTCTTTTTCCCCGAGGAAGCTCAGGCCCAGGAATATAACGCGAGTCACTTTGGTGTGTTTCTTATTAGCCTGATGTCTGGATTTCATTTGAGAAATTTTGATGGAGGCTGCGATACCGGGCCGTTCTAATGTTTCCCTCTGTCCTCTTTTGCAGCGGTCTGGAGTCAGCGTGTTCGAGTGGAACCCGAGGTCACTGCGTCTCCAAATGGATCTGTCAATCTGCGCTGTGAGTTCACCAACAGCGGAAGCACCAAACTCACACAGGTGAGACGAGATTTTCTTGATTAGTTCCAAGTCTCAAACATTCCTCTTTTTTTTTTTTTTGGTATATGAATACATTTTTGGTATATGAAATATTCAAAAGATTGGGGTTGTAAGAATTTTAAAAGTCTCTTATGCTCATCAAGGCTGCAGTTATTTGATCAAAAATACAGTAGAAACCGTTGTGAAATAATTTAAAATAACTGTATTCTGTTTGAATATATTTTAAGATATATTTTTTTCCTGTGATCAAAGCTGAGTTTTCAGCATCATTACTCCAGTCTTCAGTGTCACATGATCCTTCAGAAATCATTCTAATATGCTGATTTGCTGCTCAAGAAACATTTCTTACTATCATCAATGTTGAAAACAGTTGTGCTGCTTCAGATTTTTGTGAAACGATAACATTTATAAAATATATATATATATATACATACTGTATACATACACGCACACACACACACACACACCTTATACATTTAGTTTTACTTTTAAATACTTTTTAAAGTACTTTTACTTTTAAATGTATACAATTTCACTGGAAAAAATGATGGCATATACTGTAGCACAAAAGTATGATTATACTTTTGAATTCTTTCTAAACTGATGCTTTCAAGGTTGTCAGCAGTTTTGAATTATCACAGTTTTCAATAAAATCTGTCTGCCTGCTTGATAAAGATACTTGGGTGACATATAAATATGCAGAGTTCTCAACTACACTGTAAAAAAAAAAATTGTGACATTTACGGTAAATTACCGGTGGCTGTGGTTGCCAGAACTTCACTGTAAAAAATATGGTAGCAGAATTTTAGGTTTTACAGACTTAACTTAAATTCACAATAAAATACCGTATTTCATTAATGTACCAGCATATTGAAGTACTAATATCTGTTTTGAACCATTGTAATGTACAGTCTTATACTTTTAAAATCACAATAATTTTTTACAGTGTACAGTATTCAGGGCTTACATGGAAACTAAATATTTGCAATTCATAAAACACCTGTAGGTGCTGAACAAATGTAAGCTATAGTGACAGTTCATCACAGGCCCAATAGTTGTCCAGTGTTTCCTCCATCCATATGGTTTAGTCCAGTGCTTAAATGGCAGGCGGGTGGCTAGCAGTATGCTGCATGTAAAAGCAATGCTGTGCAAGGATTGAATCCCTCTTTCTTTCTGGTTTGCAGGTTTCGTGGATGTTTGAGCGTGTGGAGGGTGATAGGCACAACATTGCTGTGTTCCATCCCCAATATGGAGCCAGTTTTCCTAATAAAGACTTTGATGGCCGAGTATCGTTCACTCAGGGCTCCCTGGAGAACCCCTCCATTAGGATCGACAAACTGAGGATGGCCGATGCTGGCAGGTACATCTGCGAGTACGCCACTTACCCCAGTGGAAACGAGCAAGGGACTACCACTCTTATCATGCTGGGTAAGTAATGCACTTGTTTATTTATAGACCCGCTACTAGGGCTGCCAGATTGTAGCTAAACAATTGATCGTGATTATTTTGCTCAACTATTTAACTGGCGTTTCAATTTTTTTACACGAAATCAGAATTATTGCACTTTCACATAAGCACAAAACAAGAAAACGTCAACATGCATGGTTTGCTTTTAGATTTAGGTGCAAACAAATACGTGAAAAAACCTGGCTGTATTCCTTTTTTTTTTTTTGAGCAGAATATGTCAGTAGAGATGGCTAAACTCCAACTTACATGTTTGCTGGTGTTTTCAGTTCATCAGTGCTTTTTCAGTAATGTAGAGAGAGCGCAAACGTGTGGTTGCCAGGTTGGGAGGATTAAGTAAACCACTTGACAGAAAATGTATTGTTTTCGAGCATCATAACAATAAAAGTTTAATACAGCTTTAATTTTTTTCCCCCACATTACAGTGTGTTCTGTTTAATTGTATTTTTTCTGAGCAAAAAATAATGACTTTCAAACATTTTTACTATGATTCACAGAAGACACCCACTAAAATATAATTCAGTGTAACAATAGTTTATATACCAACAAGTTTTATAAGGAGTATTTAGAAAAATAAATTAAAAGACTCTATTTAGTGATCACAGTGTAGCCACCAAAATGTAATTAATTGTAATTTAATCTTTACCAATCTTTGCCATTGTCCTTTTAAACCACTAGGTTTTACCCATTTGCCATCAAGAAGGTTTTAATTATTTAAAATATAATACAATGTAGTACATGTATATATTTTAAGTACGGGTCAGAATAAGTATGTTGTTTCTTTTTTTAGAGAATTATATCTGTTGTGCTGAATGAAACACTGTTTCACCTATATTTTGACATTTTATTTTTGCAAAAAGTATTTGAAACATTAAAGGAGACCTTTTACTTGCATTCCTTTCTATGTATATAAAATCCAAATTAATTTAATGTGGACTTTAAAATAGGATGTCTCGTCTTTGACCCATTGATTTATGATTGGGGGATTCAAACTCTTTAAAATTTGGCAACCGCAATCCTGAAAGCTTATGGAAGCTTGTTACCAATACAACATGCAATGAAAAGTTTTCAGGATAATTAACCAGCAGGCAAATATTGCAAACGATTATGCTAAGCGGAAATCGTGATCACGATTAAAATACGATTCATTGCACATCCCTAGTCACCACAGTGCTTCCAGACAGTCTTGAAGGATAACAGTTCACTGTAATAACAATAATGATATGAAAGCATGTAAAATGCCATATGATGACTCAAACAAATCACTGAATCAGTGTTTTAAACGAGTTATTTGAAAAGAACCGATTCATGGAAGTGAATCAAACTTTACAGTTGCTATTTATGCCGGTGAGGTTAAAATCAGAGATGCTCTTAAAATAGCTCTGCTCCTACACTTGTGAGTCTTGACTTGAGCAGGGAGCGTGAAATTAGCCTACTGGCACAGTCTTTAGGAAAATGAATGGCCAAATAATTAGCGCATTAAAATCAAAGCAATATTTACAATCATTGCTACTTTTATATTGCCAACAAAAATCTATCAAATAGACGACAAACCTTAAGGTTGATGCTCGGACTGAAATCTTAGGAATGTGCAGACAGACAGTCATGCTAAACTACATTAGCTTTACTCACAGTAGTGTTTCTGCTGTCTGCTTTAACACTAATGTCGCCTATTAGCCTGATTCATCATTTGAATGACTAAGCTAATGCTTTTATCAGAGACGGAGTGATGCTATGAATCAGTGTTTATCCATGGTGGCTGTGTTCAAGCGTCTCGCTCGGTTTGTCTTTCACTGTTTACCCCGGAGTACACAAAGTAACACATTAACTCAGACCTCTCTCTTTATCTTGATTGTTTAACTTTGTTTGGACATGCCTCTTCAGTAGTTAATGTGTGTGTGTGTGTGTGTGTGTGTGTGTATATAATATATATACAGGTGCATCTCAATAAATTAGAATGTCAAAATGAATTAAAGCAAAAGGAGCCCCTACCAAGTATTGAGTACATGTACAGTAAATGAACATACTTTCCAGAAGGCCAACAATTCACTAGAAATGGTTTTTTTATTGGTCTTATGAAGTATTCTAATTTGTTGAGATAGTGAATTGGTGGGTTTTTGTTAAATGTGAGCCAAAATCATCACAATTAAAAGAACCAAAGACTTAAACTACTTCAGTCTGTGTGCATTTAATTTATTTAATACACGAGTTTCACAATTTGAGTTGAATTACTGAAATAAATGAATTTTCCCACGACATTCAAATTTATTGAGATGCATCTGTATATATGTATGCATTAGGCTTGCCGCGATAGACGGTGCTGACGGTGATACCGGTGTTAAGCCGCAGCACCGGTTACGTCATTTGCCCACCGCAGCACCGACCCCCACCGTCGTTTTGATTTTTTTATAATAATAAAAATCATTTAGTTCAGTAAAAGAACAGACACTACAATTAAAAACTGAACGCGGCTGCTCAATGCAGCGTGCCGAACGACAGTCGCATCACAGATCAGATATAATTTCTCCAGTGAGGAGAGTGAGTCGAGCTGACTGACAAGAAGAGTGGGGTGAGACGGACAAGACGATCGCGGATGATTTAGTTTCGAAACTAAATGCAGTATTTTGGATTTTGAAAAGCCTGTTGACTTTTGCCGTTTATCTAAGGTGGTTTTGGAAGTTTTTTTAAACATTCGTTTCTTATTTAATTGGTTCCACAGTGTTTGCTGATTTTTACTTTATTTAAACTTTGTGTAATTTATTTATTTTATTTGACATCAAGGTGTATGCCGTGCCTCCAAGCTTTCTTATTCATTTTGCTAATAAACTTTCTACATTTCTTATTTATTTGGTTATATTTGATACATGTTTACTTATTTCCAGTTTTGTGTAGGCTACCTATTTAAACTTTATATAAGTTATTTGTTATTTTATATTAGGCATAGCCTGCCCTATAGCATGGTGTATTTTTATTTGTTTTGTTTTGTTAATAAAAGTTCTATGTTTTATATATAGACTAAAGTGAGTTTGACGTTGTATTTTGTTGTTGCATTCAAGCAATTGACGCCTGTGTATGTATGCATGTGTGTGTGTGTGTGTGTGTGTATATATGTATGCATGTGTGTGTGTATGTGTGTGTGTATATATGTATGCGTGTGTATGTGTGTGTGTATATATGAATGCATGTGTATGTGTGTGTGTATATGTGTATGCATGTGTAAGTGTGTGTGTATTTTGCAAGCTATTTAAAAGTGGAGGAAAAGCGGAAACGCCCCTGCCCCCGCGGTGATAGCGGTATTATCGTTGTTGTCACACGTCGATTAACCGGTGGGAAAATAGTTTCAGATTGTCCCAGGCATCTGGTTTCCTAAATAAGTGTGCTAGTTTCATGTCTCTCGTATCACTCTGTGCTCTTTCTTCTCCAGTAATCAGTCAATATTTCATGTCCATTTATTTTTTATTTAGTAAGTATCTGTGTAATAAGTGGCTCTGTAGAATGTTTGAAACACCCTGTCAATGTGTTTTTTTCCAATAATGACCAGCGGACTGTATATTATTCCATTAATAGAAGCCAATAACAGGTCTGAGTACTGAGTAGCTTTGCTGTGTGTCTTTTAGCTCAAGGGCCACTTGATTGATTTAAAAAAAAAAAAAAAGGCTGTTGAAAAGCAAAGCAATATGGTAAACCCTTGATTTTTTTTCCTCCATCAGCCAAACCCAGAAACTCTGCTATCGCCATCCCAGTGCAAGCCGGCTCTTCTGAGGTGGTCGTGGCCAGGTGCGAAGCAGCCCAAGGAAAACCAGAGGCAACAATCTCCTGGATCACAACCATTGCCGGCCACTATAACCACACCTCAGTGCCCGAGAGGGATGGGACGGTCACCGTGAAGAGCGAGTATCTGATGATCCCGACACCTGCTGAAAACGGAAAAGAAATCACCTGCATGGTGAATCAGAGGACGCAGATCGAACCCAAAGCCTTCCCGCTGAAGCTGGTGGTGGAGTGTAAGATTCAGACACACACTCACACACACACTGCAAGGAGTAGTTATTAAAGACTTTCTGAAGAAAACCCTGGTTGGTCTTTTCAGTATAATAAAAATACGGGCCTTTAGGGCTGTCAAGCTCTAAAACAGCAAAAAAAAAAAAAAGATAAGTAGCAATGAATAATAAATTTCTTCGAATCAGATCTTTCCATTGAATCTGATCCAGTTCATAAATCACAGCTGCCTTTCCCAAAAACCTTGCAAGCAAGTAGATTGTAGAGACCATTGGTGCCAGTCAGTGTTATTTTAATATCATTGAGATACTGTTAGTTTTTATTAATTGTAATTTTTTTTTTTTCATTTTAAATTTAAAGTTGTAATAATTAATAGTATATATATATTTTTTGTATTAATAATTGTTGCAGTTTTTTTTTTTTACATTTTACATTCTGTTTTTTTGCCAGTGTTTCAAATGTCTGATTTTTATGAATTTGTATTATTTTTTTAGTCATTGTAGTAAGTCAAGTTAAACGAACGTTAATAATATATATTTAATGCAAATAAAATAAATGTAAGTTTTTCTTTTTTTTTTCTTTTTTCAATTAATGTTTACTTTTAGTTTTTATTATTTTGAATTTGTTTTAATTTTTATATTTTCCATTTTCAATTTCAAAGTTTTAATATTTTTTTGCAGTTTTAATTTTTTTTTTTAATGTCTGTTGCTTTTATAAATGTTTTAGTTTTAGTTATTGTAGTATGTCAAGTTCAGCTGATGTTAATAATATAAATTTAAAGTAAATAAAATAAATGAGTCTTTCTTTTTTAATGTTTTATTATATTTTATTTCAGTTAAAATGTACTTTGTTTCAAGTAAAAATATTTATCATAAACCTGGTGCCAGTAGTTTTTACTACTTAGGCTTGCAGTGCTCTTGGGAGCACAACCCTGGTCTGAATGATTCATTTGTGATTCGTTTTCACTCACTCAATGATCCTGTCCTGCTGGCTAGTAGTTCACTGGAGGGGAAGATTATCAATCAATAATCGACTCAAATTTTGCTCTGTTACTCACAAAGCTACCGTGTGACTTCCCAAGACTTTTATGGTGCTTTTGTGTCCTTTTTGAAGCTTGAAAGTGTCAGTTCCCGCTCATTGTACTGTAATTGAAAAGAAAAACATATTATTCAAAACTTCTCTTGTGGTGTTTCACGCAAGAACGAGCATCATATGATTTTTGAACGACACAAAAGTGAGTAAACGAGGACAGAATTTTCATTTCTGGCCGAACTAATCCTTTAAAGAAGTGTGTTCGTTCTCAGTGACACACGTGAACTCATAATCCCTCCCATATCATTCGCTCAGAACACCTTTTCTCCCTCACCCACCCCCCCGTTTCATCAAAAATGCATTTACAGTAAGCATCTTTGCCTCTGCCTCACATGTCAGCCTCAACACATTGTTCACGTTTTTTTTTTTTTTCATGAAAGCTATTTACAGTGTTTGAGGTGTCTGTGTTTGCATAGCTGAGCTGGAATGTTTGAGGATGTCAGAGATTTGCAACTTCACCGTTTCCTTTTATAAACGCTCCTGATGGAACATCCTCACCTCTTGCACTTTCATTCTCTTGCATTTCTCCAGCGTGTCAAAGCACTTTGAGAGTCTATAGGGCAGTGCCACCTTCAGCAAACCTGTATCTTCTCTTCCCACCCCTGAACGCAGATAACCAGCCTTTGAACTGCACTTTCAATGCAGGACTTACAGATGGATGTCTCTCTCACATTCTCTCTAGATCCACCCACTGTGACAATAGAAGGGTATGACAATAACTGGTATATGGGTCGGACTAATGCCGTTTTGACCTGCCAAGCTGATGCCAATCCAGCACCCACTGATGTTACCTGGAGAGCGTGAGTTCCTCTATAATAAACTTTAAGCAATAGTTCAAAATTCTGTCATCATTTATGCATTTATGCATCCAAACCCATATGATTTTTTTTTTTTTTTTGGTCGAACACAAAAAGAATAGCAGAATATGCACATTTAAATAAGATTTTGACATCACGTTTATCTCATGAATGACAGTGTCAGGTTTGAGTGAGAGCATAAATGCTGTTCAAGAGCTATGATGCAGAGAAATACATTCAAATAATAGCTTAAATTATGCTCTGTTCCTCATGCAATGCTATAATACAATTTAACAAGAGAAAGAATAGAGCAAACAAGTTTTTTTTTTAAATTTGCAGTTGTACACTGCTATTCAAATGTGTGTGTGTGTGTGTGTGTGTGTGTATATATATATATATATATATATATAATAGCTGCACATTCTGCTAAATATTTCCTTCTATTAAAGAAAAAACACATTCTGTTCGGAATAACATGAGTGTGAGTAAATGATGACAGAATTTACTCAAAAGGGGAAGGAAACAATACAAACATTTTTCATTCTGTTTGCATTAGCATTGCTATTCATTTAGTCTGAAGAGAATCCATATTTCATATTTATATTTATGTGCTGTTGTTCCATCTCCGATATGACTGAAACAAAGTCAAATATGGCAGTTTCGCTGCTAACAACAGCCACAGGCTAAATGGCAGTGAATTGAGGAAGCATCTCTGCCTGCGATGTCAAGCAACAGCAGCCTGTTAACGCTTCACTGGTTCAACTTCATTTTCTCACCAAAACAAAGAAGAACATAAATTGATACAGACCGAGAAACAACATTTATTAGTAAGACTTAGTGGGTGAAAGACACTTGGATATAGCAGTTTGATTGCAGGGTTTGAAGTTGGTTGACAAATATGCAACACTTACGGATTTATTTTGCACTTTTTCAAATGGAGTAGGCCTAATTATAATGGTGTGCATTAAAGTGGCATAAAAACAACACACACACACAAACACAAGCAGACATTATTTTCCACCATGTTTAACACAAGCTAATTCTCGAAACATGCTTTACAATATATTTAGAGATATATGGGTGCATTTTTTGCTAATAAGGTGAAGTTTCGCTTAGAAGGGGAACAAATATTTTGTTAATATTTACATGAATTCTATTAATGTAATTTTACGTAATTTTACATATGCATCTGCTTACATACGTGATCGCTTGTTTCTTCTGCGTTTTTTTGATCCTGATGTTCATTACTCTTTCAGAAGATGTGTAATAGCGCCTACAACTGTATAACAGTGAAAACACGGAATGCTGGAAAATTCTGTCAATGGCGGGCGGGGAAAGAGTTAGAACCTGATTGCCAGTCATAAAACTAGACAACAGTTAAGCCAGCATGGTTTTAAAGACTAGCTACAAATGCTCTTTTCTCTGTCAATGGTTCTTCAGTGCGTCGGGTCAGTTGCCGCCTTCGGTTCAAGTGGATCAGAACCGGCTGCTGGTGAGGAAGGTGGACGAAACGGTGAACACCACTTTCGTGTGCGAGGTGAAGAACAGTCTGGGCTCTGGCAAGAAAGAGCTGGCCGCAACAATCATCGGTGAGTAGTGCAATGCAGGAATGACACATGCACTATTGATGCAAACAGTCAATACACTTTTCAGCTCAAGTACAGCGTCCAAACCTGGGAAGCTCAAGTGAGTTGAAGCATTCATGCCTGGTTAGGACATGGTGTTGCACACCACCTCCCTCGCACTTAGAAAAACACACACAACATGGGAAAAGGATTTCTCCTTACTACTACAGATTCATGTACGCTTCTCTAATGTGGGTGGGCTTCAGAAGCCAGACTCTTACTTGGTGGTTGGGTTTCTAGTTGGCCTGCCTAACCCAATTTTGTGAGATTTTCTCCAGAAGTCTTTGTTCTATGTGGAGTCACGTGGTGTGAGCCAGTTTGCCGGGTTGCTTTTGATTTCTTCTTTCCACTTGTTGTTTTCTTTTCCCTCTTCACCATACCTAATAGCACAGTTCTGTTGTGTCTTTAACCTCTCTTAACAGAAAAAGAAAACGGGTCGCTATTGTTCTTTTCCTCTCAGTTCCTGTGCATGGGTTTCTTTTTTTCCTACAGCTTTGTTGTGCCGAAACGCACTCTGACAGACATTTTGTGTAAGCACCGATGCACGAGACTATCTTGATGGTCCGTTTCTTGAAACGTTACCCTTTATGGATCAGCTACGGAGTGGCTGTTTGGCTAAATGGACGCGTGTAGGCCCGCGAGCCACTGTGCTTTTGGCACTTTCTCATGCCAAGGCAAGCGCAAGAGCCGCATTTAGAATCCGTGGGAATCCTTTTGGAAATTTCAGTTGTCTTGTGGGAGAACAAAGGCTCTTTGTAGGCGCTCTGTAGCAAGAAAGTGTGGGATGATGTTCTAATGTGTTTTTTCTTTCTTCTTTTCACATCAGTATTATAGGGGAGAGTTTTATCACAGTCGTAAGGATGCCTGGTGCTTAAAGAAACATTCACGTCTAATCACTTCTTGATACATTCACCGTTGACGCACATAACGGTGGATTGTCACTGCGTTGTCAATGATCTTGTTTGCGTGACGTTTTGCACAGCCCTGCTTAAAAGGTCAGTGATTTCCATGCTGGTGGAGGTTGGTTTCTGCTTGTTAGTACTGGTCTAGCAGGTCTTTTCATCAGGGTAGGAGAGCTGTTTTTGTGTGTGTGTGACTGAATTTTATATGATCGAATTTGAGTGAAATGTGCCTGTGGCAGAGAATTACTCATCAGTATGTGTAATCTTTGATACTTTTCTTTAATACACAAAGTAATTTAGTACTTGAGACAGCGATGACCAATCATGCAAACCCTGCTGAAAAACAAGCTGCTTAAACCAGCCTAAAGTAGCGACTGATTTAAGATGGTCTAGCTGCTCTCCCAACATTGCAAGCTAGTGTTTATCTGGTCGATCTTAATCACCTCCCAATCTGACCATCTGAAAAGTATAAAAAAAACTAAATAATACAATAAACCTTGGCTGGTTTAAATTAGTCTAGATGGTCTCCCAGAATGGTCAAGCTGGTGTTTCACTGGTCGGTCTAGCTGAGCTTCCCCTGAAAAGTGTCCGAAACCCCTCTAAGACCATTCAAACTGACCAGTTTGCACAAATTTGCAGACCTCTGCTATTTTTTCTAGTACTTGACAACTTAGACGTGACAGCAATCTTAAAACCCCTACTGAATAAAAAAAACAGTTAAACAGTGCAAGGCTTTGCAGCATGGACAATTTGTTTAAGTTCGGTCAGTTTTATGGTTTTAGAGGAGTTTTGGACAGCTGGTCAGGGTTGGAGGTCAGCTAGACCAAATAGCTAAACAATAGCTTATGAGGCTGGGGGAATAAATCTCGGCTGGTTTAAACTGGTCTAGATGATCGACCAGAATGGTCAAGCTGTTGTTTTGCTGGTTGATCTAGCAGTTCTCCACCTTATCAGTTGAAAAGTGTCCCAAACCCTTCTGAGACCATCAAAACTGACTACCCAAACCAGTTTGCAGCCCTCTGCTGTTTCTTCAAGTACTTGACAACTTGTCAAGTACATGACATCTTGAAACCCTTACTGAAAAAAACTTTAAGGGGTCCTATTATGCTCTTTTACAAAGTCTTGATTTTGTTTTGGTGGTGTACTAGAACAAGCTCTCATACTAGGTTGTTCGAAAAACACATTATTTTTCACATATTTTACATTATTACAACAACTCTCTCCCCAGTCTGGCATGAACGGCTCGAATAGTTCCTGTATCAAATGAAGGGCCGCCTACTGAAATACGAAATGTGTTGTGATTGGTTAGCTGGGCCAGAGTGTGTTGTGATTGGCAGCACTCGGCGCCTGGTCAGGAAATGACACGCTCCTTACCATAGCCGCCTGCGAGCTTCATTGCGTCAAAATCAAATCAATTTGAGCGCAATTTAAACCCGGATGATTGTAACCACTCTAACCACTCTATTTTCTGTTAAATAAAATATCTCCTTTTGAACTGGACTTTGAGCTTTGTAACTTTGCAGATCTTTTTTATGCTCAAACAGCAACAAATTACAGACTAACTAAAGTTGAAAAAGTGAAAAAGCATAATAGGACCCCTTTAAGCAGCACAAAGCCTCGCAGTTTGACAAGTTGTTTAAGTTGGTCAGTTCTTAAGGTTTTAGAAGGGTTTTGGACACATTTCAGCTAGACCGCTAGATTATCAGACTGGGGGACTCGCTAAACCTTGGCTGTGCAAACTAGTAAATTTAGGCCTGGTTTAAGCTGTTTTTTTCCCCCAAGTTCTTGAGTACTTGGACATGACAGTAATCATGACAACCCTACTAAAACCAGCTTAAACCAGTCTAACATCTCCCAGTTTGGCCAAATTGGTTATGGTTTTGGAGAGTTTTTCTTTTTTATTCAGTTGGTCAGGGTGGAGGACTAGCTAAACCTTAGCTGGTTGAAGCTGGTCTAGCTGATCTCCCATCCTCACTGAAAAGTGTCTAAAACCATCAGAACTATCCAGTCAAACCGGCTGGGAGACCAGGGATGATTTAACCTGGGTTTTATTGACAGGGAACACAATTTAGTATGAATTGTGTCTTATTCACCAGCTGCAATTTTTAGTTTACCCATCTGCTATTTGTGCTGGTATTGTGCTGCGCCGTGTGTATTTCAATTAAGTCATTAAGTCAGGTGTAAACAGGACCTAATGCGAATGCAGACACAAATGCCACACCATGACAAAGCTTGGCAGATTGCAGGCGAGACTTGTGCTGATGCAAGAGGAATTTAAAAACCCCCAACTCCCAAAACTGTACACTTGAATGAGGTTAGATTGCACTGGTTCCCAGTGGGTCCACCGGCCTAACTGGAAATAAATTGTATGTGTGTGTATGTGTTTGCGTAAAAAAAAAAAAAAGGGAGAAAAGATGGTAAGAAGGAGGGCTGTTTTTAAGAGAAACAGAAACATCCCCCAGACAGAATACTCTGGAAGTAGAAATCACTCTTTTTCTTTTCCCCACTTTCCTCCCGCCTTGAAGGGGGGAGTCCTCCGCTTGTGCCAGCTAACAGACTAATCATGCAGCTTGCCAAGAAGGAGTGTTTGCTCATTTCTTTCCCCTCCCTAGCCATTTTCAGACAGCTAATGCAGAAAACTGAAGGCTTTCATTGTAGACTCAATTGGGGGGATTGAGAGGCCATTTAGCTGCTCAAATTCTTGGCTGAAGCTTGGTGCCGTTTATTGGGGTTGGTAGCGGCTGCTTTTGAGGAAACTGAGTTTTTGCAGAAAACACGGGCACACATTTGCATGCAAGCATGTAAGCGCATGCACAACTTAAAACGGTACACAAGGCACGTCCCTGCTGAAAAGACCAACGTGTTTTGAATGCAAGAGTTCATTGGTCAGTAAGGATTCATTTGTCAACAAGAAAGACCATGTTGGCAAATCTAGGGCAACCGTTATGTTTTTTTTTAGAAACCATGTTTTCCAATGTGATCATATTTTGAGAATTTCTTAGTCGCAGTGCAAAGAAAACTTATTGTAGCAGACCTAATAAAACAAAAGCAACGAACAGAAGACTTAAGTAGCCGAATATCCAGTGGCTAGTGCTTGTTTGCCAATGTCTGCTTTGTAGTTGTACATCACGTTATAAAATCAATATTCATGAATCAAGATATTAAATATTAATATCAGATCATTCCTTCAGCATGGCTATACTGGTTCATCATGTAGAACAGCACCAAACAAGCACTGAAAGGACGTTCCGGCTGGTCTTTCAAAAAGGACATTGAGCGAAAGCGTGAAATGAATTTCTGAATCCAAAGATTAGCTCATTCAGTGCTGATTGTAGACTGTGGCACTTCACTGCATCCATTCATGATTTTGCCTATTTGGATCATCAGATTTGTGTCTGTAACTACCAGATTTTCAAATTAGTGCTCAGTTGAACAGGATTGTAATGGTATATTCTTAAAGGTGCAATAGGAGATTGTCTTCAGAAACATTTTTTGTTATGCTGGTTGAAAGTCTCTTCACATCCCGATAGCAATCATTAAGTTAAGTGGTCTGAATGTATTTATCTGTATTTATATATTCTGTGGAAGGTGTAGGACCAAGAAATGTTCGTCCAATCAAAATGCTCGTTCTGAGCATGTCCTACTGCACCTTTAAAGGTGAAGAGTGTAATTATAAAAATTGTTCGTAAGTGCTACTCTTTAGGGAAATCGACCTGCGAATTTCTTATCACCTAGTTCTTTATATAATATATCCAACTTTATTCGCATACATACAGCATACTCACGAAAGGCAATATACATTACACTTAAAACATTGATGTAGAAACTTGGAAATTGCTAGTAAGTTTCACAATTATTTTACAAAGAAATGGTAAGTTACAAATTGAAATTTTAAAGTGGAAACACTGAAATAGTATTTTCTTGTAAAACCCACTTTAATTATCTTTATTTATAACTCCAAAAAATAATTTTTACAGTGTATATAGCATATCTCAACTGCTTGATTGCATTGTCACAAAATTCTATTATCGCCCAGCTCTGATCTGCTAATGTGACAAAGGCATGACGGTATTGAGATATTATAAACATTAATATCATGATTTTCTGTAAAGCTGCTTTGAAACAATCTGTACTTGTGAAAAGCGCTTTATGAATAAATTTGAATTTGACATTTGAATCGTTCTTCTAGTTGACTTTGCATATATATCAAACAAATGACACACTTCATCTTTAAATAATTACATTTGGTTCCTCCGGTCTTGAATATGTGCTGGCGTACTCAAATCTCTCATACTTTTCCTATCATATCAAGCAGTTATAGGGGTCTTACCTATCGCGTCTTAAGCCTTGCGGTGTGAAAACAGTGTCTGAAACTCTGCATGTGAGATAAGGTGAGAGAAAGGCCTCAGTCGACTGACACCTGGTTGAAGCTTATCACCCACGACTTAGCAAGAGAAAATCGAGACAAAGACAGAGGCAACGAGAGGGCGAGGAGATATCGCCCTGCTAACATTAAGTGAAATGTCAGAAAAGTGGGCTGCCAAGATTACCTGGCTCTTAGCCCACCCTGTCCATCATTAGGACTCATTACAGATGCTCCGAAACCTCAGAGCGCACTGTG